TCGCTTCTTAGCGACCTTAACACTTTCAAGCTGGTTCACTTAGCGGGCCCTGATGGTGCTCCTGCTTACGTGCTTAGGTACTGCGCTGCAGCATTGTGTAAACCTGTTTAATATGGAATTGTCCGACCATTTGGAAGGAATAATACATTATCCCTCTCCATAAGAAAGAGATTAAGTCCGATGTCGAAAACTATGTAGGTATTTCCAAATTATCCGCTTTACCTAAAGCTTTTGCGAGAATTGTAACATCTCAACTGCAACATTTATGTAGTTCTAAAATTTCACATTTCCAACATGGGTTCGTAAGCGCAGATCTACAGCCACTAATCTTCTTGAGCTTACTTCGTTTGTAATTGATGGGCTTAAGAAAAGAATCAGACTGACGTCATCTGCCCTGAATTCAGTAAGGCTTTCGAACTCTGACAACCACTTCTTGCTTCATAAATTATGCATTCTCAGCTTCCCAGTCTATCTTTTAAATGGATTTCAAAGTATTTGCGTGATAGAACCCAAAAAGACCTTTTCAGAAACTCGGTTTCTAAACGTATTCGGGTGACTTTCAGTGTTCCTCAAGGTCATCTTGGCCCGATACTCTTTACTCTTTTCACCAATGACTTCCCTCGATACTGTCTCACTGTCGAGTATTGATGTATGCTGATTATGTAAAATTATGACTTGCATTTAAAAATATGTCATCATGTTATCATGACATTGATGCATTTCAGGCTTGGTGTCTAGCCAACCTTAAAAACTTAAACTGCTCTAAATGTATAGAAGCCCTCCTTATTTGGTTTCTTACATCCTTGATATCTTACCGTTCGAGCGTGATAAGAGTACTTCAAATGAAGTTATTGATCTAAACTTGATCATAAACTTTAATTCGACACTCATGTTAAGATCGTGGTCAATAAAGCCAGAATAGTTATGGGGTCATCAGGCAATTGTTGAAGAATCGACAAACATTTATATATCTTTGGTACGACCTATTCTTGGGTATGCCTCATGTATCTGGTCACCACAATATGCCATCCACCAGGACAGAATTAAGTCCATTCAGAAACCATTCTAGTTGTGTGCCCTTCGTGGTTTAAATTGGATTCCTCGCGTGCGGTTAGCATCATAGTCCAGCAGACTTCTGATGGTTAAGCTTCCTTCTTTGATTAATCGTAGAACCATGTTGGGTGAAATCGAATCTTCTGTGTTGACTAGCCAATTAAATTTCTCTTTCCCTACTCGACTAAAACGCGATTGTGTACCCCTATCGTTTCAATTTTTTTCAACTTATTATGCTTTGCATAATACCGTTCAGTGTTCTTTGTGTTTACTATAACAAGCATTACAGAGTATATTCTGTTCGGAGTCTTTTCTTCCTCGTATAAAGTCTTCTATTATAATCTATTTTGCAAGTAGATAGACTTATTTAATTTTAATTTCGTACGTTATACGACTACGTAAGAAAAAATAGAAACTGTCTCGAACGGTATCGCACTCAAACATTCATGTTGGTATTTAATGACTTCAAACAATATCGACCATCTCTCCACTCTATGCTTTATACTTTTCCATTTTTTATAGCTTCTTTCTTGATCATAGTGCAGATTTGTTATGATGTTATTTTTAGATTGTGCCCTTAGATCTAATAAATGTTCATCTTTTTCTTTGACAATATTTTACAACATTCCTTAAAGCCTTACATCTTTTCCAATTAGAAGTTGTAATGCAATTGATTTGGTATCACGTAGGCTGGCAATTTATTGCTCTCTAAAGCTATGGCAAACTTTTATATGTGCTCATCAAACGCTCAACCTACCCATTCGCGCGATTAGCTCCTGTGGCAATTAAATGGACTTAAATATTAAGTGCAAAAAAATATTATATTAAATATTAAGTGCAAAAAAATATTGCGAGACCCCACAAAACATCATTTTCAGTTCAATTACACGTACCTTGTAACCGCATCCATAGAGCTAATTTTTGTCCGTTTTGCCACTTAATTTTTCGGTGTTGTCTAAATTCTGTGTCATGACGTCTACTTTTGGTAAGAGGTGCATTTCTTGTTAAATTTTGCCGGAAGGTCATTTTGATAGCTTACATTTTATTAATTTATTAAAGGATTTTCGGTCATGTTTTGTTATATCTTCAAACCAATAGCAACTATGCACCTTTTCGAGGATCTATTCTCAACCAATTTGTATTTGCACTATTTTCGTTAATTTCATTGTTTTGTAATTTACATATTAATGCTGATATTTCGGGATCTGTTTGCTGTTTAGCTGTAAGCAAGGTGTCACCAAGATCGCTTAAGCTTCCTCTTTTTTCAGTGGTTTTAGTTACGATCATCTGAATAGTTAGTTATGAGCATCTGAAATTGGGTTCCCTGTTGCCTGTTACAAACATTTGCACAAATACATTATACTCTTTTAAACTATTTTCGATCGGTTCAGGGTATAAGGAGAAGGTAGTGGCTCGGTACGGCTCGCAGGATCCGGACACTATCGCGCCTTCATGGCGTCCTCGGGTCCAGCCGTTGATATAGTTGGATAATTAACTCGGCGTAGATATCCGAGATCAACAGCACACTTGATATCTCCGGCTGGAACCAGCAAACGTCCGCCAATTGGATGTTGGGGAATGGCTCATTTAGATTTTTACTGATGAGCTTGGATGGAGTCTGGTACTGAAGCTTAGGCATTACCTGCAGCTCGTCCCGAGGTCGAAGGTCCTGGAACGAATGACGGCCGAGCCAGCGTTGTCTGTGCCGACGAGGGTGATGGATAGCCCGGAGGCTTTTACCAAAGATGCGTCGATAAGACTTACCGGACAGCACGGGCTTAACACAGCCCGAGTGGTGTGTACGATTAATTGTTTTATGAGTGATTACTTGCTTACTTTGGTCTGCGCTCTCGCAACTTGCATACGCATTTAATAATTGTGTCGTGCTGTAAGAAACCATGCTCGTTCAAGCAGGCTGATGATTCAGCACTGCTGCAATATGTTAATTGCTGGCTGTGTGAGAATATGATGCATGCAAAATGTGCAGGTCTCACTGGGCGTGATTGCGACAAGATCACTATAATTGCCAAGAAGGGCTGTGGGGGCTTGCGTTCGTGCCCAGAATGCATTGACATACAAATTGATTTCTCCATAGACAACTGATGCATAACACGGACAGAGAGGAATGAAGCTGGAATTGTTCCGTATGTAACTGTATCCTGCTGAAAAATCTTTTTAAGTTCTGTTCTGGCGAGTCTCGCCACAGAGTGCATTGGAAAAATTTTTCCCGTGCTGAAACGCGTACGCATCGATACATTTTACCAATGTCTTCTTTTAGGGCAATTATCGGGATCGAGCAATTACGAAAGCGAAGAAGGATATGAAACAGCGAGCTTTGAATAACATGTCCAGCCATCAATAGTTCATTTGATGAGGTAGCTGCGTTCCAGGGTCAGGAACTGAAACCTCAAGGCTTGTTGGTATGACGTCCCCAGACATTCCAAGTTTCTCTTGAAAGATAAACGAACTGAATATTTTCATCCTATGAAGTGGTCGGTGTAATTTCCATGCAGGATTCTATCTCCCAAGATCTTCGCACCAATTCGTCAGCACGTTCTTCATAACTTGTCTCGAGTTTTCCCGCAGTATGTCACGTAGAGCCACACATTTGCGATCCGCCTCCAGAAATACCCAACCAAGCCGTGTTTTTTGAAGACACGGAAGCCCTGGGAGAAGCCGTATCTGGCTGACGCCGAGAATATTGTAAAATAGGCTAGCTCCAAGCAGCAAGTCCAACCGTGGAGATTTAAAGAATGACGGATCTGCAAGTTTACTGTTACCGGGAATGTTTCAATTCGTCGTGTTGATAGTAAAACTCGGTTGACTATCAATTATGTTAGGCGCTACGAGAGCTAGGAGGCATGTTAAGTATTCACAGACTTGAGATCGTATAGGGAAGGTGACCGTATTGCCTTCTGTTTCAAAACGAGAATATCCTAGACCAGAGACAATGGCTAAGCTTCTTTGAAGTGCTTCTTTAGCTGAAGCTGTTGAGCAGTGCGCGACGCTATAAGGGGAAGCTGAGAACTGGAATCCGAAAGGGACAAGGGATCAAAGTGCCGTAGCGATTATTAGCAAAGACCAAGAGGACATCATACTGGGTACAAAAGAGGTGGAGGTAAATAGCGACAACTTTGCAAAAGACGCATGGGCTATCGACGATGTCAGCTGTCCAGACGGGATAACAGAATTAATATTATTTAAATGCAGCAGGGAATGATGCTTCGTCCCACAGATACGACTGCCTCCAGAGCTGCTTGGTCGCAATTGATGGTCTTTCTTTAGGCAGTTCAATCATAATGCAATTCGTTTTGTCTCCCTAAGCCTAATGCTTATGTTCGACCTGTCACAAAAGACTCAGACAGGGGCGTCGTGGTTAGTGGCGATAAATGACGATCTACTTGTGTTAATTGCTCTAGTTTTTCCCACCTTATGGCCAGGGGCATAGCTTGAGATAGCAAAATTTACGGTTTCCATTGTTCGGCATCTCTGCTCTAGAAACGTAGCTCCCGATATGATATTAAGTTGACTTACTTGGCTTGTGATATTGGAAGCACAGATTGGCCCCGAAATGTTGAGCAGGGCAATATTGAGCCAAGGTTTGCGATTTAGTCCAAACCGAAATTCTTATAGAAACTTGCTAACTCGTCGAAGTCCTCACGCAATTGGTTACCAATTGGTAGTTCTTTATGTCGTGCCGAGAACGTTTTATGTTTAAGTTAAATATTATAATAGTAATAATAAATATTATAATTATATATATATCCCTAGTCTTTAGTTGGCTTAAGTATTAATACATGCTTAATGCTTGGTACACCTCTATTTTCTAAAACATTAATACGCTCGGTCTAATTATACCGATGATCGATAGGTTAGTAATTTTATTCTCTTTTATATGTCATTACCGAGAAAAGTAAAGAATTTTCGTGAGTGTTTCTAAAACTTACCTAATTTTGTATACTGGACATTCATATATATTCTTCACATCTTGTTTGTCCTGTGTAACCGCTTTAATATAAATAACCGGCATTGCAGGAAACAACTCTTTGTTAAGAGCATCTGTTATTGTGCTCAGTTTCATATCCCATCGTGCACCTTCCATAAATAAGCCATTAACATAGGCTCCCTCGCGAGGTGCAGAACTATTTAGAAAGGTAAAATATTATCTAAAGATCACACATAACTGAAAAAGCTTACGTGAACTCCTCTTTGAATTTCTTTGTGACGTCGCAATTGAGACACATTCGGTCAAGTGGCCACTCATTTTTACGTGCCGTCTGCTGCATAATTGCAGTAAGTAAAGATTGGGGATTGAAAAAGCCAGCTAGCCAAATGGATGATGGCAATCGAAAATCAGAAACCCAACTTTCTAACTCACGAAGACGTTGCATAAGGTCCCCAAACCAAGACTGCAGGCCCAACAAGCTTGGATAGGCAAGCTTTGTCCATTGCTCAGGCACTTGATCCATATAAAGGCATAACATAAGATCCTCCATAACAGAAGATATTGTGAGTTCTCCCTTTAGACCCAAATCTAATTCGTTTAGTGATCGTCTAAGTTCGGACATAAGAATATTCATTCGCTCGCATTCTTGAAAAGCAACTATAATATATGGATTACGATCCTCTACACGTCCCATAAGCTCTGCAATATTAAAAGGTGTGGGGACTTTATCGAGCAAGTCTTCAATAACACCCTTTATAATATCCTCTTGAGACACAGATTCACCCCCTCCGGCTGAACCACTTGACATTCGCGGCTGCAGTTCAAATACAATTCTGAACAGTCGCTCTGACACTGTTGTAAGAAATCCAATTTCAGCATTTAAATTTAAGCCATATAGAGAAGGGCTCTCCAATGGCAAATTTTCATCGATATACTGATGATATCCAGCATATTTAAGAATTCCTGGGGCAGGGAAACCGGAGCAAAACTCTAGATCGCCATCGATGAGCTCTGGCTGCATAAATTCCTCAAGATAGGTACGGCACAATCGACGATCCCAGTCATCTGTGATGTGGCCACCGTACATAATTTCTCCGAATAAATAACGTAAATCTTCCCAAGGGACACGAGTGTTAGCCTCCAAGTAGTTAAATAAAACATATACCGAAATTGTTAGATCACCCACATTAAATGGATAGGATCGATTCCAGCCCTGTGGCCCAAATTTGCGACGTTCAGCCACGACGGCATGGAAGTAACATAGAGAGAAAAGAATAGCTTTAAACTCTGTTTCTTTAGAGCACATCTCAAGTGTCTCATCGCTAAAATTGTCGAGGGCCTTATGTATGTTAGCCATCATACCTGTCGGCGGTTCGTTTGTAATTTTAATGGCAGACTCTAGTATTCCCTGCGGTAAAATGTGCATTAGCGGGTCACCTGCAGGTTCAGCACTTAAAAAAAGTCTATACTTTGAATTCACATTAATAAGAGAAGCTTCCATTTTCTTTTCAAGACTAGGCAACCAGCGTGCAACTAGGTGAATATTTTGCAGAATGACCCAATGCCCTTGTTGTGAAGCTGTTTCTATAGCTTTTTCTGCAATTATTTCCTGCCCTTGCCCTAATGACACACTATGAAAGTTTTCATGATCAAAACTATAGCCTAACACCTTGCCAATTTTTTCGACATCTTTAAGTGGGTCAACACCTGGCGATAAAACAAAGAAGATATGAGTTTCTGGGCTTGACTCCTTAAAGGTTTTAGAAAATTCGATTGACCGCGCATCAATATACTTGGATCCTAACTTTTCGTCAATAAAACCTTTCATTGCATATGACATGCGATCGGGACGTATACAGCGCATTATGCACAGCCTTTGAATTGCTGACTTTGCTTTCCATTCACCAGGTAATTTCTCATTCTCGGGACTCTCCGAATCAATAAATTTCATCCACCTCTTATGCGATCCTTCGATATCTTTTTCTAGGCCCTTAAAAGCTGGCAAATTATTTAATGCACGAATGCCTCCCCATCCAACGTGAGTCAGCCACGGAAAATTTGAAGTTTGATTGGGCATATACGGGAATCGGAGAAGAAAATCTAGTTCAGTAGGCTCCACTTCGCCAATATTAACTAATATTTGAAGGCACATTTGAGTAAGGAAAATTAGTTTGTCCTGCTCAAAAAGCCCCCGAGAAGTGTAAATATAGCTGCTGTATGTAATTGATTCCATTAGATTTTCAACGCGATCCTTGAGTTTTTCAGCTGGCGTAGAATTAAGCATTGCGTTATTAAATACTACTGTAAAGGCTTTTAATGAGAACTGATATATTGGATTTATCTTGAATAAATCGTTAAGTATGAAATATATAATTGAGGCTCGCTCGGCGGCAGGTCTGTATGCTTCTCGGGCAGAGTCAATTTGAACACCTGTAATCTTGGCCTCAGCTACCTTTACTTCAATTTCATCGGCTGTTTTCTTCGTTTTTTCAAGGTTCATAACTAAGGTTATATCTTCAAGAACATTATCCCCAGCAGAGGACAATCGCGCCAATAGATCATCTTCCAAAAGCTTTAATGTGATTTTGAAATGGTTTTGTTGCTGCGTAAGACGTGTACGCATAGATTCTAGGTCAGGTCTTTCAACCTTGACTACCTCAGCCAATAACTGATCCTCTAAACCGTCACGTGTTACTGTAAAATTAATAAGTGTAGTTTGTGCTTGCATTTCAGGCTTATAGTGCGGGTTAGCTAATTTCGTATGCAAAATCAAACGGAAGTTGGGATTGAAGTCAATCTCACGGTCACCGATCTTCAAAATAGTTCCTTTTTTGATCAGCATGCGACCAAGCAATGGATTAAGTACAGCGTCAACGTTCTCCCCAATGTTCTCTATTAAAAGTACGTTTCCATTGCTAACAGCTCGTTCTACTAAGTCAAGATATCCACGCTGTGTAAGACGCAACACCACAAGACCTGGACCATATTTTGCTTTCACCCATTTTATGCCCTGTCTATAAAGCATTGATTAGTTTAACTTTTTTTTTTTAATAATTTCAAACTTACAGCTGAGGATCAATCATTAGCGGATAGCGTTGGGATTGAACCAAAATGGCAGCATTCTCCGCAGACATTCTATCACTAGGTAACCCTTGGTTATTCCACTCAGCAATTTGGGCATCATCACAGATCATTTCAAAAGGATCGGTACCCTCCGTCGAAGGAATTGGTGGCTGCAATTATTAGAATTATTATTATTGTATATATTATAATCTCTTTAATACATCTCTATAATACATAAATCTGCTCGTCCTGTCTGACTAACTGATTGGTGATCAACGCACAGCCCAACCCGTAAGAGCTAGGAAGCATAAACAGTAGATATCTTATTAGGAGGGTGCACGTTAGGACAGGTTTTCAGGAAATTTCAACCACAAGTATGTAAAAATCGCGATTGGACTCAAACTCAATTTCAAAGTTCTTAGTTCAAATTCATTAGAGGGGTGTTTCACACTTTTCCAATAATGTATTCCTCCTTGGTGGCAATGGGAGTCAAGGATTTGGTGGATGACGCATTTCACAGTTTCAAATCCTTAGTGATCACAGACCACTTGTCTGGATAAATAACATGAAAGAACCTAAATTAATATTACTACGATGGAAAATCAAGCTAAATAAGTTTGATTTCCAAATTAAATACGTCCCAGGAAAAGAAAATTATATGGCAGATGCTCTGTCCAGAATCCAATTGAACGAAAACTTTTTAGGTGAAGATACCATTAGCACAATACCAACAATCCACAGTGCTCAAGAAGACAACAGTAACCATTTAAATATCACAGAAAGACACCTATATTACTAAAATCGACAAATAGAATATGGAAACAGGAACCCGAGAACGAAACAAAAGGTACAAATAACTTTCATAAAACCAAAATAAAAACAAGTAAGCGGTTCAAGTCGGGAGCTCCCGACTAGGGGACACCCTGAACCCTCTTTCTCCAACATTAAATGCATATATGTATTATATTTTAGAAGCTATATGTCAATTTTGGGGACTCTAGCTCTTATTTACCAAAATTGATCAAAACAACAGATATATAAGTCGATTTTTATCGATTGCTTGGAAATGGCGTAAATTATCGATAATCGGTAACAAACTCGATCTGCACAGGCACTAGGAGCAACTTCATCTATAATTTCAGTTCATACATACGGACAGACGGATAGATCTTGCTGATCAAGAATATATATACTTTATGGGGTCGTAGATGCTTCCTTCTGCCTGTTACATACATTTACATTTTGCACAAATACAATATACCTTTTACCCATTTTCAATGAGTTCAGGGTATTCTATCAAATGGGTAAACCCATCGATATAAAAGAAGACAAACAATCACCATTAGTTAAATCGAAGACGACAACCCCGTTCAAGAAAACAGGAGAACTAAGACAAATCGACGACAAACATTTTGAGGAAACTAACAGAGGCAGGAAAATAACACATTACAAAACCAAATTCAAAAAGAAAAAGACTAATCAAAGCAAATATAACAATTACAGGTCAACAACAGACAGCGATCAAAACATACAAGCACCAGCTTAAACTAATTATTATAATATTATTATCAATAACTGTAAACCATATAAATGCACAAAGCATTGAAATTAATCGTATTAAAGCCCATAACGGGTATCTCATATTTAAAACAGGAACCATAGACATTCCGACAGATTACGAATTCCACTGTTTAACGGTTAATATAACAAAAACCGAAGAAACTTTTAACAATTTAATTGATCAAAGTAAAAAATTTAATAACCTAATACAAATCGAATACCGGGTAGAAAAATTAAACAGAGAAATAAACGGCTTAAAAATACCCAAACGCAGCAAAAGAGTTTTAGTTAACATAGTAGGAACAGTATATAAATACTTATTTAGAACATTAAATCAAGAAGACAAACCAGAAATTGAAAAAAAATAAGCAACTTAGCAGAAAACAGAGTTCAGGTTAACGAATTAAATCACATAATGGAAGCTATAAACAAAGAAATAGAAATCATGAACGTACTAGATCAAGAGAAACAAAAAGGAAAGAAATAAGATATCCTTAACTTAGAACACTTTACAGAATATGTAGAAGACATTGAGATGGGAATGCAGCTGCCCCAAAATTACTTAAACATGACTATTTATTGCATGTTAATTCTGAAAAATTGTTGAAAACAAAAACTTCCACTTGGCTTAAATCAGATACAAACGAAATACTGATAATATCCCATATTCCCATAATAAAAATACCCGGTATTCGAAATAATTCCATACCCGGACGATAATAACATTTAGACAGAAATAGCTCATGAAAAATATTTTACCCAAGAGAAAAAGTTTATAGCAAAGAAACAAAAAAATTAATTAATAATAAATGTTTGACAGGAATTTTAAACCAAATAACAGCAGAATGTAGTTATTTTAAAATATTGCAAAAATTTTCCAATCAACTACGTAGAGCCAAATATAATTTTAACTTGGAATTTACCAAAAATTATATTAAACCATAATTGTATAAATAACGAAATAACAATAGAAGGAAACAACATAATAAAAATCTTTAATTGTTCATTGCAAATTAATGAATTTTCAATTTCAAACAATATGTTAGATTATACTCAAAGCATTTACGTAAGCAATGATGCTATAAAATTATTGCATTGCAAATTGTCCGTTATTCCTAAATTATTTAAGTCGATATATTTAAAATGTTTTCAAGTGTATCAACATGTGTTTTTAATTGTGATATGTCTGCACCAGTAACTAGAAATTTGTCCATAATCAGAGACCGATTTGCGATAGGCATTCCAAAAAACATATATTTGGTGAGACACCAATTCCATACTACGCTGAAGAAATAATCCACATTGATATATTTTCAACTGACAGAAAATATATCTTACTTGCATTGACAAATTTTTGAAATTCGCCGTAGCACAGCCACTGGCATCAATAATGTATGTACAACCTCCCATCATCCAGCTGATGAATTTATTTCCACTTATAGATACCGTACATCCAGATGGAAGCGAGTGGGTGAAAGGAATATGAGTGAACACACAGGAAGAATTGGTTTCCACTTGACCATGGTGCAGCAACATATTCAGGGAGCTGTTAAAAAACGGGTACGATGCCGACATTGTGAATGCGCCACCACTACACAGCACAGTCGCAGACAGAGCGAGAGTATTTAGCCTAAGGGCAACAATCGCGTACAACCGATCCATACATTCGGTCGGAGACCAAACACCTGCGCGACTTTACTCGCATATTTTATTTATTAATCACAAAGTATGGCTATATTTTGTGTGATTAAGCAATTCTCGTGACTTATCTCTAGTAAGTAGTTTTCGGAATCCGAGAGCTAATTCCGTTCCGAACTCGTTTACTACTAATCTATGATTTATTGAGGCAATGAGACTGCCACATCCACTCCCCTTCCAATGCTGCAACTTAGTTGCAAAATGAACGTATTTTTTGGGTGGATGTACTTCACTTCTGCTATGAGTGGTAATAATAGGGTGTTGAATGTTGCCGCTTGCTGGTGAAGATGATTTTGCATAGTTTGCTTCCGAGTAAGGTGCCTTAACACGGTCGATGGTTACTGTGTTATGCTTGCCGTTAATATCAATTACAAATTGCTTTTCGTTGCGGCTGATAACTAAAAATTTCCTCTCATAAGGGGTCTAGACTGTGTCATCCCATTTAAGATCTTTTAGAATGATGGTAGTAGTGTAGTGGGATGTATTTACAGCTTTTAGTTGGGACATGCTTGAACGTAGGCGCTTGATGAATTCACCTTCGATATGCTCTCCGACAGGTTTAAAGTTGTCCGTAAATCATTACCGCTGGAGAGGCGTTAAGATCTTCTGTCAGTCCAGTTGAAATCAGTGTGATATTTAATGGCGGTCTTCAGCGTCCTGTGCATTCTTTCCACTATGCCGTTGGCTTGTGGGTGGTATGCTGTTGTTTACAGATGCTTGGATCCCGTCAACTGTGTAAGTGTGGTATGCCGTAATTTGCAATAAAACCATACAATACATCTGTAGCTACAGACTTTGCCGTTATATCCGCTATTGGGACTACCGCCGGCCAACATGAAAGCCGGTCAATGCACGTCAGACAGTACCTGTAATTGTTGGACACTGGCAACGGGCCAATTAGATCAATGTGGATATGTTCAAATCGCTTTTCAGGCAGGTTGATTTCTTGAAGCCCTGCTTTGTTGTGTCTGTTGACTTTTGACTGCTGGCAGCTGATGCAGTTGTTGACCATTTGAGCTATGTTTCTTTTCATTTCTCTCCAGACGAAATGTTCGGTTATGAGTTTCACAGTAGTGCGATAAGTTATAAATGGAATTGAAGATTTGCTTACGGTAGCTGTGTATGACGGACGGATTCGTTCTGACGAAATCTCGCAGTGTATCAATGTCGCTGAGTCATAAAATTGGATTTGTTTTAGCTGTGGAGAAAAATGCACAATAAGCTGTTGCATTTCTGTGTCTGCTTGTTGTCTCCTTGAAATTAATTTGATTGTCATTAAATATCGCTTCAACCCTGGACAGCATATCTGCGAAAACCGATCTGTTTCCCCTCGATGTGGTGGATATTTGTTGTATATTTGCTGATAAAGCTGAGCAGTCGGGTTCGCTTTGGTGTTGTTTTGTCTGCAAAGCAAAGGTAAGCGGCGAATGGTTGGTCAGTACTGTGCAGCTGCGCCATTCGATCATATGTGAAAAGTATTTCACGGACAGAAAAATCGCCAGCAACTTACGGTCATAAGTGCTTTGCTTTTTCTGCGATTCCGCCTTCCGTTTAGAGAAGGAACTGAGCAGAAGTTACTCGCTTCAAACGTGCAGTACTAGTTTAGCATGCTGCACTGCTTCCACACTATTGGCGTCTTGTTCTTTTTGTTGCCTATGATTAGCTTTGGCAGTTGTCTTTGCTCAAAAGTTGCATTAGGTAAGCATCGTCTGTTCGAAACAGTCGTTGGTCACTGAAGACACTACTTCGAAGCGGTCGTTGGTTACTGGAAACACAGTGAGTAGTTTTTCGAATTCCACACTGCACGTTGTGCCCCTTATTTATGGCTTTGTAGAGCTGTCCGTAATGAGTTTTCTGTGTGCGTCGACCTGCAGCCCGTATTTGTGTAGGAAATCATCTCCAATGTTTGGTT